GAGGAGAAAGTAACTTGTGTGGATGGACTTCAGTAACTGGAGGTAAGAGTCTGAAGAGATGAGGCCAGAGCCAGAGTGTGAGGAAGGTAGATGCTTTAAGAGCTATAAGAAAATACTACATGGGGGTAAGCAAGAAAAGTCCCTGGCTCTCCCTCCCTCCCTCCCTCCCCCCCCCTCTCTCTCTCCCTTCCTTTATTTCTTTATTTGTTACTACCACAAACATTTATTTAGCAAAAAGTTTGATATGAAACTGTACATGACTTGCTTTTTTTACATTATGGTAAAAATAGGCCCTCTGGGATGGGAACAAGAATTGCTATTTTCTCACATGGCCACTGTTTCAATATTATTCTGCTGTGCACTAATTGTCATCTCCACACATTCCATCACAAGGCCCAGAAAAAGATCAAATCCCCAGTATATTCCTTGGATGCCCGTCTCAACTCCATATCATGGCTCCCCTATCTCGCACACACACTGGCAGCTCCAACTCTATCATCACCCCTAAATTGATGCCTGATATCTGACTCAGTTTTTGTTTCTCAAAAAATGTTAAAGTAGACTTTTGCCACTGGGCACTCTTAATGCTTAATGGTGTGGGATCAGCTGGTTCTTTGTTGGGAGTTGTCTGTGCACTCTAGGCTTTTTAGCAGCATCCCTAGCCTGTACCCAGATGCCAATGATAGCCCCCTCCCGAGTTGTAACAATCTATCCAACTGTCCTTTGGGAAGCCCTTGGCACCTTTCTTAAAAGTTCCTGTGCTTTGTTGAAGATGCTGTACCAGCTGAAGTGAAAGGTACATCATTGCTAACTACTCACTTTAGGGAGGGGAATTATTTTGTACATGTAAAATAAACAAGTCAATAAACTTCTGGTTTTTTTCTTTTATGTCAACGTCCATTTTGTGCAAAAAAAAACCTTTCCAATTTAGGACCTATGGATATGATTCTTCTACAGTTCCATTTGAGGTGCCTGTAAGACTGTAAAACTGAATAGAGAGACCAAACAAGCACTTTGGAGAAGCTCAGGATAATAGTTCTGGATAAAAGTTCTGGAGTTATCAGTCAATATTCTGGCAGGCAGTACTAATTGAACTCAATGGGAGAAAGAATGAGAGAAAGAGAAAGAAAAAAGAAGGAAGGAAGACATGATGGCTGGAAGTAGATGTATTAGGGTGTCCCTGGGGAATGGGGGGACAGTTGGTTGGAGAGACTCTAGATACATTGTGTACATGTTTAAAATTTCCAAAGTATAAATAATACTTTTTTAAAATAAAGAGTTCAAAAGGTCTGCAGTGGTCTTACCCCTACACTGGACCCTTCACAACCTGCCGAGCAAGATGGCAAGATGTTGAAGTAGTGGTATGACTGTTACAGGGGTAACAAACTGCTTTCTAATTGAATTTTCAGCCCACTTTACAGGAGGAGAAATTCATGCCTGATAATATAAACCTGGTCAAAAGCCCATGGACAGGACAGTAATAGGCCCTGGGGGAAACCTACTACTGTTGTTTTGCTGTATGTATATGACGTCAAACCTTCTGAATATTTGTGGTTATACCCATAGATTGGTACTGTTCTCAGTCTTGATTAGAGAAGCTTTGTTTTGAAATGGGCAGTGATTAAGGCAGTGACTCATTACTGGTGAAAGTGCTGAGAAAACTGACTATTGGCTGCTCATCCCTAAATGAGACTCGGAGAACACCTAGAAGAGAGAAAGAAAGACAGCAAAGACCCAAAAGATAAGGAGGAATGCTGTGAATTGCTTTCTTCAGGGCATGACATGGCTGTTGCACACATGACTCACAGCCACAGTGGCTACATGCATGAGACCTGCACAAGACTGGGCTCATCACCATTTAGTTATTCATGGGGGAAGGGACTCATAAATCTCCTCCCCCAGGAGTTTCAGGCAGTTAATGGCTGCCTTGCTGTGGGAGAGGAGTCAGTGGTAGCCACCTTTTGGTAAATTGACACCCGTCTAGTAAAAATAACCCACCCATTCTCATGCAGGCAACCTTAATTAAATGCAGTGGACCAAATGAAAGACATGAAAACAGTAAGAGGACTTGTAGGGAAGAAGGTGATGAGTGGGAGGTGGAAGAGGATGAGAGAATAATGGGGGAGAATGGGATCAAAATAAGTTGTATCTATATAATGAAATTGGGAAAAATAATTCTTTAAACAAGGAAAATATTCTGGAGTTCAGGGCTGAGGCATGGCTCAGTTGGTAGATGCTTGTCTAGCCTGCACAAAGCCCTAATTTCCTTCCCGACACTGCATAAACTGGCTATGGCAGTGCTTCCCTGTAATCCCAGTGCCTGAAAGTGGAGGCAGAAGGATGGATTCAAAACCAACTTCCAATATAGGAAGCACACTGAGTTTACTAAATGACTCAAGTTGTCTCTGTGCCTTGGACAGTGGAGGAGACAGAGGGTAAGGGTTAATCTTCTGAGTCTCTCACAGAGCAATTCTGGATAGTTTCCTTTTGTTTTAACAAAGATCGTTCTTTCTAAAATCAGACTTATTAGAAGAGACACTGAAGAAGTAATTAGTTGTAAGGACAAGTGTTACTGGGGTCTATCAGCTGTGGTTAGCCCTCATAGGTAGGTATGTGAGGCTTACTATTTGTTGCCATTTTTCTTGATTTTTTAAAGTTAACTTTTTAAATTAACATATAAAATAGAGGTCTTCATCATAACATTTTCATTATTAGATGTCATTGTACTCCTCACTCGCACACACACACTACCTTCCTCTATCACTCCTCCCCTTCTACCCATGTTTCCCCAATCCCTCTTAAAACTCCTCATCTTTTCTCCCCATTATTTCTCACTCCCATTCCCCCTCCCCTTCCCCATTCATTCCCCTCCTTCCTTCTTGCCCCTCCCCTTCATACCATCACTGTTCTTCCCAATCCTCCCTCCTCTCCCTTCCCATTCATCTCCCTCCTCCCTGTCCCACCCCTCCTACCATCCCTCTTGTCTCCCATCCCCCCATCCCTTCCCATTCATCTCCCTCCTCCCTGTCCCACCCCTCCTACCATTCCTCTTCTCTCCCATCCCCCTCATCCCTTCCCATTCATCTCCCTCCTCCCTGTCCCACCCCTCCTACCATCCCTCTTGTCTCCCATCCCCCCATCCCTTCCCATTCATCTCCCTCCTCCCTGTCCCACCCCTCCTACCATCCCTCTTCTCTCCCATCCTCCTCATCCCTTCCCATTCATCTCCCTCCTCCCTGTCCCACCCCTCCTACCATCCCTCTTGTCTCCCATCCCCCTCATCCCTTCCCATTCATCTCCCTCCTCCCTGTCCCACCCCTCCTACCATCCCTCTTCTCTCCCATTCCCCTCATCCCTTCCCATTCATCTCCCTCCTCCCTGTCCCACCCCTCCTACCATCCCTCTTGTCTCCCATCCTCCTCATCCCTTCCCGTTCATCTCCCTCCTCCCTGTCCCACCCCTCCTACCATCCCTCTTCTCTCCCATCCCCCTCATCCCTTCCCGTTCATCTCCCTCCTCCCTGTCCCACCCCCTCCTACCATCCCTCTTCTCTCCCATCCCCCTCATCCCTTCCCGTTCATCTCCCTCCTCCCTGTCCCACCCCTCCTACCATCCCTCTTCTCTCCCATCCCCCTCATCCCTTCCCGTTCATCTCCCTCCTCCCTGTCCCACCCCTCCTACCATCCCTCTTGTCTCCCATCCCCCTCATCCCTTCCCTGTTCATCTCCCTCCTCCCTGTCCCACCCCTCCTACCATCCCTCTTCTCTCCCATCCCCCTCATCCCTTCCCATTCATCTCCCTCCTCACTGTCCCACCCCTCCTACCATCCCTCTTGTCTCCCATCCCCCTCATCCCTTCCCGTTCATCTCCCTCCTCCCTGTCCCACCCCTCCTACCATCCCTCTTCTCTCCCATCCCCCTCATCCCTTCCCGTTCATCTCCCTCCTCCCTGTCCCACCCCTCCTACCATCCCTCTTCTCTCCCATCCCCCTCATCCCTTCCCGTTCATCTCCCTCCTCCCTGTCCCACCCCTCCTACCATCCCTCTTGTCTCCCATCCCCCTCATCCCTTCCCACTCATCTCCCTCCTCCCTCTCCCACCCCTCCTACCATCCCTCTTCTCTCCCATCCCCCTCATCCCTTCCCGTTCATCTCCCTCCTCCCTGTCCCACCCCTCCTACCATCCCTCTTGTCTCCTATCCCCCTATCCCTTCCCATTCATCTCCCTCCTCCCTGTCCCACCCCTCCTACCATCCCTCTTCTCTCCCATCCCCCTCATCCCTTCCCGTTCATCTCCCTCCTCCCTGTCCCACCCCTCCTACCATCCCTCTTCTCTCCCATCCCCCTCATCCCTTCCCGTTCATCTCCCTCCTCCCTGTCCCACCCCTCCTACCATCCCTCTTGTCTCCCATCCCCCTCATCCCTTCCCATTCATCTCCCTCCTCCCTCTCCCACCCCTCCTACCATCCCTCTTCTCTCCCATCCCCCTCATCCCTTCCCGTTCATCTCCCTCCTCCCTGTCCCACCCCTCCTACCATCTCTCTTGTCTCCTATCCCCCTATCCCTTCCCATTCATCTCCCTCCTCCCTCTCCCACCCCTCCTACCATCCCTCTTCTCTCCCATCCCCCTCATCCCTTCCCATTCATCTCCCTCCTCCCTGTCCCACCCCTCCTACCATCCCTCTTGTCTCCCATCCCCCATCCCTTCCCATTCATCTCCCTCCTCCCTCTCCCACCCCTCCTACCATCTCTCTTCCTTAATCCCCATCCCCTTTTCCATTCCATTCCCTCTGCCTATGTTGCTCTTCTCTCCAAGCTCCTTCTCTCCCACCTTCTTCCTCTAGCCCTCCTCCCCTCACCCTCCCCATCTCCTCTCCCCATCCTCCTTTATTGTCCCTCATCCCTCCCCAATTCTCTTCCCTCCCTCCTCCCTGGTCTTGTCCAGAGGACTGATTTTAAGGTAACCCGCCTTTGATTTTCAATAAAAGAAATACTAAAATTGTTCAGACTGATTACTTTTATTTAAAACTCATCAAGTTATTGAAAGGATGATTTCACGTAAATTGTCCCGTAGGAGCAATTGTAGAGCTGAAGAGAGTCTAGATGTTAACATGGAAAGACTCCTCAATCGCAATCTGGTACTGTGTTTCCTCGTCCATCTGAAGATTCACGAAATCCCCGTAATCAAATTGGTGCCTCCGGTTTAGGTGACTAACGAAATTCCTGGTGAGATGAGTAGGATCGCCCCATGGAAGAGATAGGCAAATAGGGCAAATGACTGAAACAACATGACCTCTGTGGTTGCTGTTGCAATGATCCAGCAAACGCTGTCTGGTCATGTTTGCTTCTTCGCACAGAGGACAATCAAAAGTAGGCTGGTCGGATGGCTCTGCGTTGTCTTCTTGATAAGCCTCGGCATTTTCTGAGGTGGATGCCTGGCTGGTGGTGTTGGTCACGGAATCTGGAGACAGCTGGAAGCTTGGAACAGGTGAAGAAACTCCGAACTCATCTTGGTACTTTTCGCAAGTTTTGTAATGTTGTCTCATGCGATAGAGTTCAACACGTTGGGAACAGCATCGGCAATTACCGGGAAAACTTCTCATGATGGTCTCGAGATCTAGAGCCCTCTCTGGACATGCTCTTTCTCTTCTAGTCACATTTCCACGGCACAGGGGGCAATGGATCCGGCTCTCCTTCATTGCAGCCAGGAAACATTTTCTACAGAAAACATGCTGACAAGCCACGACCCGAACCGGCGTTCTGAAGACTTCTTGGCAAATCGGACAGTAGAAATCATCTTCGGTGTAAGGCGTGGAGGCAGACTCTTCCTCGGCCATGGTGCTGGCGGGTGGAGGCCCAAGGCGATGGCGGCTGGCGGCTTGCAGCTGCGGAGGTGGCGGAGGCAGCCCGGAGCTCGATTCCCTGGGATCCTCCAAGCGGCGCTTTAGGTCAGGCTGCCTCTCTCCGCGGCCGATCGGTAGACAGGTGGCCCTGTGCCGCGGTCCGATTTCAGTCCGTTTCTGACCAGCAGTTGACTGAGCTGCCCAGCGGTGGTTCCCCAGCAAATGAAGGGTGGCGCTCTGTTCTCATGGGCCTCAGAACCCACCAGACCCAAAGCGCATGATAGTAGGGATCCCTCCCACTCCGCCAGCAGCTTTCCTGCGGTTGAGATCTGGCTGCTGCTGCCTGCCAGGCTGGTGGTCACTGCGGAGTGGATAGCCACAGGAGAGCCGGAGGCGGGGTCACTAGGACGGCCTCCATAGCAACCAGCGCGTCGCGCCTTCAGCTGGTTGTGACGTAAGCTGCCAGGTCCGTTTACTTTACCAAGATTTTTTTAAGTCCAGCTGGGCCTGATGCGATGGCGCAGGCTTGTAATCCCAGCCAGTAAGGGAGGCTGAGGCAGGATGATCACGAGTTCAAGGCCAGACTGGGCAATTTAGGGAGCAATTTAGGGAAGTCCTTGTCTGGAAAAAGTGAAAAGAGATCTGCCGATGTAGTTCAAAGATTCCTTTGCATGTTCAAAACGCTGGGTTTAATGTCTAGCACTGCATAAAGTCCCCCAAGTGCCTAAGTGATTCTTCTATGTGGCCAATTAAGTATCACTGTTACCAGGCTACTATGTCTAACAGCACACTGGCTCTCCTACCTACACCAAGTTTCTTTACTCCTCAGCTACACACACTCAGGCCATGCCACTTTTAAAAGGCCAACAGAGAAAGTGCTAAGTGCATCATTTAAAATTCCTAGCGAGGATATCTTCATTAATTCAGCTTTTCAGTTCTCTCCTTTCATTAATGGGAACTGAAAAACCTATCTGTCCTTAAACTTGACAGGTGAGACCTATACATCCAAGGCAGACATCTACAACCTAAATAGCCAAACCCTGCTTTAGAAATTTTCCATCTGTACTGCAAACCCAAGCAAGGAATTGTGCCATCTTAAATATTAAGAGCTTGAGAAATTTTCCACTAGCAGGTCTAGGTGAAGTGCTTTCTTTCATGTCACCCAACAAATCAACAATGTCCTAGATGCTTTTACAACATTGACAGCCTGACTCTTTGCCATCAACTTGCATTTCTGAATGGATCAGGGTCCCTAGTCACCTGGAGCCACTGGCAGTGATAGCAAATCTTAGAGAGATTTTATTTTTGTTCGCTTAAAAATTCCCACCTAAGCATTAGCTAAAAATGTATCTTTTCCCTTCAGCATTACTACCTATCTTTCTACAAGGCACTACCTATGCTCCCGGCCCCTCATCTCAGTGTGCTGGGGTATGTAAATCCAAAAAGGGAACAGTGGGAGAGGGGTGGGAAGAAGTGTTGGAGTACAAAAGACACTAAAAGGACAGGTGACTCTAGTCCAAATTTGCCTCCTGCCTGACTTTATGCAAACCATGAAACACCAAGAGCCTCTGATCACTCATCTGTAAAGTGGCACCATGAGCTGTGATTGAAACAGTTCACAGGCTTCTAAAAATATCAGATGAGATAGTACTTATGAAGCTATCCCAAACCTCTCCTCACGCTCATGATACTTGTTCTCTGTATGGACCAGTTACTAGATGTGCCTGTGAAGTCAAGGGAAAAGAACAAAGCCAGAGACACACCAATGGATGATTTCTCTGTGAAACCATTTCCTAGGAAACAGTGTCTTGCTAAGCAGCTACTCAATATGCTGTAACATATAGTCCACAATTTACCCACTTCCTATAGGATGTCTGAAATAACTGGCTTCTAATATGTCTAAAATGTCTTTCAGGCATCTCTGGATTTATAACTTGCATATGTATTTCTAGAGTGGACTGAATTCTCACAGCCTCATGAATCCTTCCAGACTTCAGGCTTCCATTACTCTTTCTTTCAAAATCACAAGCCTTGTTAGGAAATGCAAGTCTCTAAGCATAAGTGATGGGAGCAATATTCCACTGTTAACCTGGAGGTGACAGCTTCATAACCATTTATAATAAACTTGTGATTTCTCCTCTCTGGCTCAGAGATTAGAAATGGTTCCAGATTTGCTGTTCAACTTCAGTAAGGTGGCATTGCTGCCACCACTATATTAAGTGACAGTGCAAAAAGAGCCTTTCTACCTCAATCCAAAGGGAGCAGAAAGAAAGGAGAGATGGTTCTAGTAGATAGCACAGGATGCAACTGCAATTGTCCTAATCCTTTGCTGCCGGACATCAGAGAACAGAAAGTAAATTATTTTCCATATTTCCTTGATGCTGAGGGTTACTAGATGACCCAGCTCTGGCCCCTGAGACAGAGATTAAATTTTTGGCTTCTTTTCCCTTCCATAGGGTATATATGGCAGTAAGAACATATAATCAGACTACTCTGCTTTAAAGTTACCTGAATAATTTCTTCTGTCTGTGATTTTACCACTAACTTACTATAACTGAATTTTGTTATTTTATTTATGTTTTGGCTTTTGATGTTAGGAAACAGATCATATATTTTTTAAAAGTGTGAAAATAATTGCATGACTCCAAAGCTAAATGTGCAAAACAGGGTATATAAGAAAGGTCAGTTCCGTGTTTCATCTTCCCTATTCAGTCGTCCTATTTATGGCCCTACAACATTGCCTTCTGGGCTGGAGAAATGGCTCAGTGGTTAAGTGTGCATACTTCTTGCTCTACCACAACCCACTCTGGGTTCCCAGAATGCATGTCAGGCAGCTTGTAACCAACTGAACTCCAATTCCAGGGAAGACAACCCTACCTATCCTCTGGCTTCCTTGGGCATCTAAACACACATACCATGCATTCATATAAACAAATACACATAAAAACAAATCTTAAAAATCTTACAAAATTGTTTTTGATGTGGATCTTGCAATATAGCCCTTGTTTGCCTAGTACTCACTATCTAAACAAGGCTGGCCTCAGATTTGTGAAAATCCTTTTGTCCCTGTCACCCGACTGCTGAGGTTACAAGCATGCATCACCATACCCCAGGCCCTTCTATATTTACCAATGGAAATTCTGTGAAAAAGTTTCCTTTTCCATTATTTTATCAAGTATTTATTTTACAACAGCATGAACTTGTGGAAAATTATTCTGTTCATTATATTTTGTTCTGAGATTATTTGTTTAGTATATCATATAGTCCCAGGTTAGTGTATTGAAAACTTCACCCCAAATTCAGGACCTCAATACAGTAGACATGGCCATTTGTCTCAAGAGGCCAAAGAGACATGCAGTGGTGAAGAACAGAGAAAGAACATAAGCATGGCCACATTGAGAACAGACTAAAAGGCTCAGTGACCTCCAAGTCTATCTTCAAAGGACTGACAGGAAATGTAAGATTTTATATGAGAGAAAAATGAGGGAGAGGATTGGTCAGGTTGGTGGTCTAACCAATCATTATCTCATTCTGCGAGGGGTTCAGGACAAGCTGTTATCACTGTCATCTTTTGAGGGGAGCAATATGACTCCCCCGGGATGGTTGGAGGGCACAGCTTCTGTTCCCATTGAGTGTGTGTGTGTGTCTGTATACAGGCAATGTATGTCTGTGTGTGTCAGTGTGCATCTCTCTGTGTGTCTGTGTGTCTGTGTATTGTGTCTTTGTATATGTGTCCATGTGTATGTGTGTGTGTGTGTGTGTGTGTGTGTGTGTTTGAAAACTGTAAAGTAAGAAAACAAACAACTCAATGAAAATGGGTATAGACACAGTCCTATAGTCCCAGCACTCAGGGGGCTCAGACAGGAAGATCAGCATGAGTTCAAGACCAGACTGGCCTGTGTGTAGCCAGATGTTGTCTGAAGAAAAAGAAACAAAGAATACAAAAAGGCAAAATATTTGATCAAACACTTCACCAAAGAAGATTTACGGGTGGTAAATAAGCACAATAAAACAGTCAACATTGTTAGTCCTTTGAATATGCAAATTCAGACCATAATGAGACACTACTATGCAACTATTATAATGATCAAAATTGAGGCTGGGGAGGTACCTTGACAATTAAGAGCACTTACTGCTCTTGCAGAGAACCCAGGTTTAGTCCCCAACACCCACAGGGACACTCACAACCACAGTAGGGACATGTCTTCTGACATCCATGGGCTTCTGCACACATGTGATACACTGACAAACACTAAGGCACACACACACATAAAATCAATCATTTTAAAAGAAAGTTCCAACTTTATGAAACAAAATCTGATACTATCAAGTTCTAGAGACAATATGAGTAGGAGCCAAGACTGTCATCCTCGAGTTTCAGCTCTGAAATGTCATGGGAAACACTCAGGTTGTTTCTTATAAAGTCAAACATACATTTAACAACACAACTCAATAAATCTGACTTCCAGGGATTTGCCCAAGGCAATAAAACTTACATGCACACAAAAATATGCCATGGATATTTTTATTGGCCTTATTCATGGCTGGCAAAAGCTAGTATCCTCCATTACAGAATATATAAGCAAATTGTGCCATAGCCATACAATAAATGCTACTATTCGGCAATACCATAAGACAAACAACTGAGAAATGCTACAGTGTGAATGAATCTGGAATGGTGGATGAAAGAGGCCAAGCTAAAAGGGCTGCATCCTGCCCAATGCTACCTACAAGACATTCTAAAGAAGGAAAAAACTGCAACAACAGAAACCAGATGTCATTGCCAGGAGTTTGGATTAAGGAAGAAGATAAATTAGAAGCAGGAGTCGAGGCCCAGCACAGGAGCTCAGAGCTCAGGGCTTACAACGTTAATACTGACACTTTGGAGACATGGGGAAGAACACCATGAGTTCAAGGCCAGGCTAGGCAACATAATGACTGCTAGACTGAGCTATATAATAATAATAATAATAATAATAATAATAATAATATAAATAACTAAGTAAATGACACAAAGGTGAAAAAGAGACTGCCTAAAGTGGGAAAACAAAACAGTGGGAGAGGGAGGGCAATGGAAAAGTCAAGAGTACATGGCATACTTGTATGCAAACATCTTCATGAGACCTATTACTATATAAAATCAGTAAACATTTAAAAGAAAAACCATGGAATCAAAGCCAGGGGCCTGGGGAATGTAGCTTCATGATAGAGCACTTGCTTAGCTTGCCGGAAACTCTGGGTTCCATCCCCAGTGCTGAAAAAACAAAGCAAAATAAACAAAAAGCTGGGCATGGTGACACACTCCTATACTTTCTGCACTTGGGGATGGGGGCTGAAATGAGAAGGAAAGGGGGGAGGAAGGCAAAGGGAGGGAGGGAGGCAGAGAGAGGAGAGAGAGAAAGA